CACACACACATACACACACACACACACACATACACATATATATATATATACACACACTCACACACACGTACACACACACACACTCACACACACACACACACACACACACACACACACACACACACACACACACACACACACACACACACACACACATATACACATGCTTATACACACACATGCACACATACACACACATGTACACATACACATACATAGACAAAAAAGAAACTTGAAACGCACCATATCCACTCATAGTACATACACACACACCCATTCACAGTACACCACACCGCAGTACATCACATCCATCCACTCATCCATACATTCATTCACTTAGCCAAAGCCACTTCTTCACTTATTTAAATACACCATCTCATAAAACCACAGCACATCACACCACTCTACACAACATTACACCTATTCATCAACTCACACTCAGGTAAAGCCACTTAAACATTCATACACTCCCAACTCCACACCACACCACACTCACTAACACAGTTAAAGCTACTTACTCATTCACACACATATCACACCGCATCACACTCACTTACTCACTCACTCACTCACTCATTCACTCACTCACTCACTCACTCACTCATTCACTCACTCACTCAGCTAAAGACACTTACACATTCACACATATCACACCACACCCATTTATCCAGCTAAAGCCACGTACATTCATTCATACACTCCACCACACTACACCGCACACACACCCACGCGCTCGCTTGTTCATTGACACAGTGAGGCATCAACGCGACAGGTAACGATATAGATTTACATTACATTACATGTTATGAGAAGGAAAAAATGTTGCAATGAGATGTTTCTTCCATTTGAAGTTTGAATTATTCTTTTCTTATTATCGATATCATCGTCACCAATGGTATTTTCATTCTTACTTTTATTGCTGTTATTCGTAGTGATATTACGATTATTGTTTAATTTAAGTACTGTATTGTTTAGTAGTAGTAATAATAATAATAATAATAATAATGACAATAATATAAATAATAATTCTAATATTATAAACGTAGTAGTAGAATTATTATTATTATTATTATTATTATTATTATTATTATTATATTTCTACTACTACTACTACAACTACTATTACTACTACTACTTTATCATCACCATTCGTCATCATGATAACAGTATTCCCTAGTTTTTAATTTAGGAGACAAAAACCTTGAAGCTGGCTACTGGCCTTGTTTCGCTAAAGATATAAAATGTGTTTTAAAAAAATGAAGACTAGATAAACATAAACAAACGTATTTTTATTGATTTTGTGATATCGGAATTTAAAATATAATCGGTTTAGAAGCGCTTCTTTCAAGGTCATAAGCACAGTATCCATGGTCTTAAACAGAGTCCACTCAGCCTCGGCATTAGGATGGTGAACTCATGCCCTGGGGTCACAGCGAAGCCTTGACAACAGTTTTTGTATTATAGGAGCGAAAGCCTGTCCTCGGGAGCCTGCGACTGCTTATCTGCGCCGGTCGGTGATAAGGGTGCTGTGGAGATGTTCTTTTTACCTTTATCTTTTCTCCATCTTTTCCGTGCTTCCTTGTTTTCGTTTGGACGTGTATATTTTTCGCCGTCATTTGTAAAACAGAACCCCCACGCACGCAAACGCACAACCACTCGCACATACACACAATATCTCTGAAATTTGGTCTTGTCGAAGATTGCGTGTTTTTTTCCGAGAATTATTGCTAATATCAAATATATCATCCGTTGCTTCCCTTGTGAGAAAACGAGAGAGAAGGGGAGAAGTGGACAGAGATAGTGAGAAAAAGAAATCTGAGACTAAAGGTATGTACAAACAAGCACATAACCCGGAGGTATAGCTGAAGGTGATTTGGACCAAGATAGTGCTGCGACCGTATTACTGCGTTAGTTTGTAACTGAACCTCATGCAGGAGAGAGACAGACAGACAGACAGACAGAGACAGAGAGGGAAAGGACAACTAACAGATGTAAAGAGTAAGGGAAAGACAAGTATAAAGAGAATTTTGTGACCTGTTTGGGATATTGTGACCTGTTGCTACAGAAGAGCACAGTACCCCGGAGGCATGTATTAAGGTGATTCGGGCCAATTCAGTGCTGTGACCTTATTACTACGTTGCAGTATGAGTGAACCTTATGCAGGTTAGAATGCAAACTACGACCTTATGTCCGGAGCATGGAGACGGACTGGTGTTTATATTGGATGTGATTATCTCCTTGAAGTAGACGATTGCATCTCCCTCCCTCCCTCTCTCTCTCTCTCTCTCTCTCTCTCTCTCTCTCTCTCTCTCTCTCTCTCTCTCTCTCTCTCTCTCTCTCTCTCTCTCTCTCTCTCTCTTCTCTCTTCTCTCTTTCTCTCTTCTCTCTTTCTCCTTCTTCTCTCTTTCTCCTTCTTCTCTCTTTCTCCTTCTTCTCTCTTCTCCTTCTTCTCTCCTCTCTCCTCTCCTCTCTCCTCTCTCTCTCTCTCTCTCTCCCTCTC